GAACACTCAGGGTTGATTTCCTTCAGAATAGATAGGTTTGTTCTCTTTGCAGTCCAGGGGACTCTCAAGAGTCTCCTCCAGCACCACAATCCAAAAGCATCAATTTTTCGGCTGTCAGCCTTCTTTATGGTCCAGCTCTCACTTCCGTACATCACTACAGGAAAAACCATAGCTTTGACTATGCGGACCTTTGTTGGCAAGGTGATGTCTCTGCTTTTTAAGATGCTGTCTATGTTTGTCATCGCTTTTAATTTTGGGCCTGCTGTCACCATCTGCAGTGATCATGGAACCCAATAAAGTAAAATCTGTCACCGTCTCCATATCTTCCCTGTCTGTTTGCCAGGAGGTGATGGGACCAGTGGCCATGATCTTTGTGTTTTTTTTGATGTTGATCTTCAGACCATTTTTTTTCACTCACCTCTTTAATTCCTCCTCACTTTCTTTAATTCCTCCTCACTTTCTGCCATCAGAGTGGTATCATCTGCATATCGGAGGTTGTTATTGTTATTGATATTTCTTCCGGCAATCTTAATTTCGTTTTGGGATACCTCCAATCCAGCCTTTCGCATGATGTATCCTGCATATAAGTTAAATAAGCAGGGAAACAATATACAGCCTTGTCGCACTCCTTTCCTAAATTTGAACCAATCAATTGTTCCATATCCAGTTCTAACTGTTGCTTCCTGTCCCACATATAGATTTCTCAGGAGACAGATAAGGTGGTCAGGCACTCCTATTTCTTTAAGAACTTGCCATAGTTTGTTGCGGTCCACACAGTCAAAGGCTTTTGCATAGTCAATGAAGCAGACGTAGATGTTTTTCTGGAACTCTCTGGCTTTCTCCATAATCTGATGCATGATATGAACATAACCAGTAAATAAATGAACGCATGTGACAAAATCCAATCACTGCTCTCGCCCACTAAAGTAGCTTAAATGGTTATTCAGTAACTATTTATTATACTGAATATATCAATATAAGTATCATAGTAAGATATCAAGATAATGTAAGAAGACACACACTCATAAACTGAGACAATGGCTATTTTTAAGAAGGGGGAAACAGCTTTATACAGTATCTTATTGCTTATAGTATGCTTGGTCCAAAAGAGTTCTTTTCAAACAGCAGGTCTGCATTTAACTTGTCATTAAAATCAATTAAAACTTGCCATCACCAATTCACAATTGGCTTTTGTGGGTTAATCCACCAAGCTTTAGTTGGTTAATACATTCAACAGAGCTTGCAAGTCTGATAAAATCCCACTTCGTGCTTTCCTCTCCTTCTAAATACGATGTCGGCTGGTTTTTAACTTCACAACCGGGACGCGGGCTTTTCCTTACAAGCCGCTCTCAAACCGTTACTACCTGAAACACTCAAGGAAATAGAAATAAAATCGCCAACAGGGGCAGGCTGTAGCCCGCTCGGTCGAACTTCCGAAACGGGCAAAAGTGCCGCGTTTTGGAGTTCGTTGCTTTTTCAAGTGCCAAGCGCAAGTCCTGGTTGCAGCTCAAATCTTAATCCGTAAAATTTGGACAAGACGGCATCGTTTTTTTTTTCTCCCCAACTCTTTTCCTCCACTTGAGCTCTGCAAGGCGGCGCGTTTTTAGCGACTGGGAAGGCTGGATTGTACTTGGACACAGCCAGCGCCTCGTCTTCGCTCAAATGTGTCCCGGGCGGAAAGTGCCAAGCGCAAGTCCTGGTTGCAGCTCAAATCTTAATCCGTAAAATTTGGACAAGACGGCATCGTTTTTTTTTTCTCCCCAACTCTTTTCCTCCACTTGAGCTCTGCAAGGCGGCGCGTTTTTAGCGACTGGGAAGGCTGGATTGTACTTGGACACAGCCAGCGCCTCGTCTTCGCTCAAATGTGTCCCGGGCGGAAAGTCTNCCGGTCACCTCCAGGGGGCGTGCGAGAGAACGCGGCGGCTCCGTCTCCCTCCTGAGCCAAAGCGCCCGGGCGGGCGGGCGGACTCTTCAGAAGGTGGGCATCTCTCGCCTGGCGCGAAGCTCCGCTCGCCGCTCGCCCGCCTTGCCTCCGCATCCCGAAGCGAGCGGAACCCTTCTTGGCCCAAGCGGGGAAGATGGAGCTGGGCTTTGCGGAGGGATGACACTCCTCTCCTGACGCCCCCCCCCCGCCGCCGCCGCCCCGATCGCCAGCGGCGCCGCCGGCATCATCCCCTTCCCCGTCGTTCCCGCAGAAGCAGCAGCAGCAGCGGCGGGAAGGGCGGCTTGGCGAAGAGAGCCCGGGAGGTCCCTCTCGCTCGCGGTCCGGGGCGAGCCCGCCGCCGTGCCTGCGCGCCCAGCCCGTCTTTCCTTCCCGATCGGTGGCTCAGGTAAAGCGGGTCGGGTCCTCGGGCGAACTTTTCCTCCCGAACCAGGTTAGCCGTGTGTGTGTATGTTTAGGGGGGTGGGGGTGGGGAGGTAGGATCCACTCCCTCTTTTCATTCTTGCATCCCTTTCAAGATCTCGATCTAGTCTCTCTCGCACGCGCGCACGCACGCACACACATTTCTCCTTTCGCGCAGGTGAAAGGCGATCGCAGCCCGATCTCACGTGGGGAAGTTTGTAAAAAGCTCGGAGAGACCCACCCGAGACTCACGTGTAAAGCTTTGATTTTTCAGATTGGACCGAGGGTCACTGATCCCGAGAGAGAGAGAGAGAGAGGCGTATGAATACATGCGTGTATCAAATATCAGTATATTGAATCCCTGGAGGGCACTTGATCAACCAAACCCCCTTTTCTGTTTGAGCGGACGGAATCTGCTCGTGTGAACCTGCGTGAGTTTTCCGACGGACTATAAAAGTAGTCTTCTCTCAGCGTGGGATTCCGCCGACTTTGCTCCCTTCCCAATAATGTTAACCTAGGATCTAGGTAAAAGGTGTGCACCAGACACAGCCAGAGCAGGAATAAAACATCCTTATATCTGGAGCACAGGTTTCCACTTTTCTATAGGGGCGGGGAAGTAATAATAATTGGATTCATACACCGAAGCTATACCTGGACCTATCTGTGTTTCATTGTGTATATATAGAAAGATCCGCCTACATGGGCTTCCGTGTGCGTGTCTCTGTTGCATGTTTGTTTATGCCTTAACGATATTTCTGTGTTTCATTGTACAAACCCTGAAGTCGGTTCGGGCAACCCAGAAAAGAACAAAATAAAGCCAAATGGAAAGTTAGCTTCTCATTGCTCAGCCAGTGTTTGTTTTGACACCTCAGAGAGTCTCCTGTTCTGGTTTCCTGTTTCAGCATCCACTGGATTGGTCCCTTTGGTGTCTGAGACCAGTCTACAAAACAATTTCTTTTTGCTTAAAAAAAAAAAGGATGGTGGGCTGACTTTGCTTAAAAAGCCCTGTCTTTAGTTTCCAAACTACTGCCTTGAACTCGCATGGCTTGTGCTCTGTGTGCTCATTCACAGGTAGTGCTGCTCATATTGCGGGCTCGGCTCTGCCTGCAAGCCTGGGCAGGTTTACCAGGGAGTAAGTGCCACACTGAGCTCCACAGGTCTTCCTTCCAGATAAGCATGCTCCCTACTCCCTCATGATCCCTTGGGATCGACTAGAGAATCCCAGTAGACTCTTCAGAGAAGCAAGGCAGGGGGGGAGGTGTATTCATTTTTCCCTGACTTCAATATAATCTTTTCTGGGGGTCAGTTGAGTTGACTGTGTTTTTTTAAATTATTATTTATAAGGGGGGGGACATCTTTGAGAGAGGGTGTTGGGTGGCCACACAGGAGAAGAACCTAGGGCTCCTGTACCTTTAACACTTGCATAGGAGAGGGAATTCCAGCTGCTGTGGCACCATCTGTTGAAATACCCTTTTTGACACCATTATTTAAAGTACAGGAGCTCTGTTTTTTTCGACGTTTCTTCCCTAGCAGGATGATTCATAGGATTGAGAATAGACAACTATGTGAGAATTGTTTGGATTTATCATATCGTTGCACAAGAGTAAGGTAACTTGCTTTGTCCTGGCCTTAATCCTCCACCTCTAACCTAGAAACAGTAATAGGAAGGCTGAAACTGTAGCTTCAATGTTGTTGATTGACTTCAGCTTTACAGATACAGTGGGCTGCAAAAGTATGGAAATAATAAGTCCCCCTTTCTTCTACTACTGCTTTTGATGCTTGCCCTGTGCCAGTATTCCCAAAGCTTGGGTCTCCCAGCTGCTGGACTCTTCCACATCTGGCTAGCTTGGCTGTGTGTGAGGAAAGGTAGAGTGATATCCCAATATGGAGAATCCCTGGTTTGGGACCAACTGCAAGCAGCAGGAAGGAGGTTTTGAGCACAAGTGGGAGGGATTGCATCTTTGATCCAAAGTTGTTGCATTTGCTGCAAAGATCTGCACAATCCCCACTTAGCTTAAATCTGACCGTCTAAAACACTCCATCGGAGTGAGCGTGTATGTGCAGCAGTTCATAGAGAAGTACTGTAACCGACTGCCTAAAGTACTTGCTGTGTTTGCACAATAGCAACAGAAGCAGCAAAGACACTACACAACAATACAGTAATCATAATGTCCTGTCAAGTCAATTCTCATGGCAGCTTTTCTCAAAGTTTTCTAGGTGGAGAATACTCAGAAGTGGTTTACCATTCCCATCTTCTGGGGGCAATCGGGGACTGTACAGCTTGCCCAAGGCTGCACAGGCTGGCACAGTGGGGAATATAACTCACAACCTCTGGCTTTGCAGACAGAAACCTAAACCACTGAGTTAACCAGCCACCAGTACACAAGAGATCACTGAAGAATGTCTGATAGGGAGACATTTTATTGGAAAACATAAGGAAGGGGTATTTGTTGCATATTCTATAAGAATCAATGTATTTAATATGCAACAATATTGGTATGGAAGATATAAAATAGTTGCTGCTTTTTTTAAAAAAGGGGTAAGTCACTATTGCTGAAATTTCTAAAGGCCATGCTTTTAATATGGCAAAATTGGTCATGAAATGCAGGCTTGGCTTGAGTAATAACTTTTTTTTAAAAGTGTGACTGACATTTTTCTTAAAAACCTTCTGATGCAAAAACCTTGATAGGCTAGGATGTACGTTGGATTTGTCTTCCTATTTCTCTCCTACACGTATGCAGTGGAACATGGTTTTAGAACTACATGAGTGGTTTCTGTGTTATTTGAGAAGGACTTGAGCAAAAATGTTTTTTAGTGAGCAGTAGGTCCGATTGAAATCAGTGGGGCTGAGGTCAATATGTAAGTTGGGATTGCAACTTTGGAGAAAAAATCCCCAAACATTGTGTGCGGAAGGAGGTAAAAAAGATCCGAGGTTGCATATCCCCTTTCTCCAGTTCTGTAGGGAGACGAGTACTTTGGCTTCCGATTTGCTACCAGACAAAGGGCTGGGTAGCAGCTTATCGGCATTTTTTTCTGCCCTAGAGATGATTCTGCCATAGAGCTGAGAAGAGGAAGTCCGCCTGTAATGAAGGTGTGTGTGTGGAGGGGCAGAACTTTTTACCTGAGTTCAAATTAGGATATGGGTTGTCCCTTCTATTCAGTGGTGACCTTATTTTCCCTTACTTTTGGAAATGGTAATTAGAAATCTTGGATTAGAGAAAAGGTGCACTTTTTTTAAAAAATGTAATGTTTACGTCAGATAAACACAAGTCTCCTTCTTTTCATGCCTGTTCAGAAGGGTAGAAAGAAAGAATAGATCTAGGGAACAGACATTTTGCTTGAAGTTTCAGAGCGCTAGGCCTACAGGTCATCCTGAATTCAAAAAGACTTATTTGGAGACAAGTTTTGTAGCATGCAGTGATTTCTGGAGAACACAACTCAGGAAAGTAACTGTCTCAACTACAATTTCCAGAACCCCCCCTCCCCGCCAGCATGACCATCTTACCAGGGGATGGTGTGGGAACTGTTTTAAGAGTGGGAATGGGTTCAGAAACAGGTGAGAAGCCTGACCTTAAGCATGTTTACTTGGGAGTAAGACTTCATTTAAAGGTGAAGGTGGCTGTGTGAGGGGGGAAAGGGAATCTGAACATCTCATGCAGAGGATGGCAATGTGTTACCTGGGAGTAACCCCCATGAAATTCACTGGGAATATATTGGAGTGCGCTGTGACTATGCTTGCTGCACTTAAGCATTCAAGAGTAGTGGGTATCCTATGGGCATGTGAATATTGATTGTATACTGGCAGAAGAGACCCTGGCTGAAAAATGGGATTGCCAACTGCAGTGAATGTTGTTTGGGCGAAGCTGGGTTCCTCTCTCTCTCTCTCTCTCTGTGTGTGTGTGTAAGAGACTTTTTTAACATTTAAACTGGATCTAACTCCTAATGAGTTCAATGGGCTTTAGTATCAGATTTGCAGTATAGAAATATACCTATGGAACAACTGGCCCGTCTTGCTTTCACTGAGATCCCAGTCCTAGAACACCCCCAAAACCCCATTTATTTGCCAATATGAATCACTCGTTTTCCCAGACCATGCAGAAGACTAAGAACTGCAGCCCAAAGTTTTCTGGCCATTTCCCTTATGATCAGGACCATGCTGACAGAGACATATAGGGCCCCAAGCTCAGGTACTGTTGCTGGACACATCAAGGATGGGCAACTTTGGTGGGTGCTGGGCAACCTTTTGCCCCTGGAACTCTCTTTAGAGTCTGAGTTCTCTAGAGTTCCGGGCATCGTTTTCTATTACCTCTTTTCTGATCCCTTTTTACTGGCGATGCTAGGAATAGCACCTGGGATGTTTTGCAGGCAAAGCGGCTGAATCTGTCACGCAACAAGGCACAGGGTGGAAAAGTTCCTTCCGTAAACTACAGCCCCAGAATGCCATTGATCTTGTACCCCAAAATGATGACTACTGACATTGTACACTGTCTTAATTGAAAAGCATTGGTTTTGCTCTAGGCTCAGTCATACTTTGAGCAGTCCCATTAGGTCTACTTTAAATGTTTCTGTACTAAGTCTTCTGGTTCCAACCCGATGACCAGAATCCTGTTGGCAATTTATACTAGCCTAAGAAAAATCATGTAAGTCACAGCAGGAAATTGCTACTTACTGAAGTGCTGCTTGTGTTCTTGGGTGTGTGCCTAGGAACCCAACCAGTACCTTGTTGATGACTGGCAATCTGTAGCCGCAGCTTATGTGCTTTCCCTTATGTGAGTTTAAGTCACCAGTAGGATTCTGGCCATTGTGGTTAACCTTTTCTCTGGGCTGGCCTATTGATATGTGAGCATCTTCAGTAGATGATGCAGCCTTTGAAAGATGCCTGTAGGTTGGCCACGGGAAGAGCAGGATGGGGCTCCTGTTGCTTTAATAGTTCTGTGAAAGAGAGCATTTCAGCTTTCCTAGAAAGTTGTGTAGCCACACTGCATA